TCTGCACTCCCCCTCATTCACATTATGTGATTTTCTTGTTCTGGGCCTAGAGCCCTAATTTTCAAAAATATCACAAAGCAGTGTAATCTTTAAAATGTTCAATTTTGAGATGTTAGCATAAGTGAGCCCAAGCAAGGATTTTAAAGGCATCCCTTTAGTATAAGACAACTAACTGTCCTGGGCTGTTAGTCAATATTATGGAAAACAAAAGACAGGGAACTGTTATAGACTAAGTGGCATACACAGATTCTAGATTTAAAAAAATTTAAGTGCTATAAAACACATTTTAAGGACAATTTCAAAAATTTTAAATATGGACTACATTTGGTAACAGAATTACTGTTAATTGTCTAGGGTGATAGTGGTATTGTAAAAGTAGAATAATTTATTTTTATGAGCTGCTTACTAAATATTAAGAAGTGGAGTGACATGGTGTCTGCAAGTTATTTTCAAATGGTTCAGAAAAAATAAAATGTGAGAGAGTGGTATACAAAGTGACAAGACTATTTATACTTGATGACCCATTCTGCTGGGTATAAAGTGAGTCATCTCAGAAGCAGGAACTAGAGATTCTCACAACTGTCTAGAAAGAAGAGTCATAAATAAAATGATTTTTTTAAAAAGAAGAGCCATGAGCAAAGTGCCGTGGCAGGGGCAGCAGTGGCATCATCAAAACCAGAGACAGCGTGATGGGCAGGAGACTGACTCACAGATTAGGGTGTCCTTTGGGCATTTTTTTAGTGCTAAACGAGATCTCTAACACTTGCCACAGCAGGGCAAAGGCCAAGAGGTTACTAAGTCAAAGGCCACAGATCCAGCAGAGCTAGTCCTCTGATACTACCTTACTGGAGCTCGTTAGGTGCCATGGAGTCAGTTCTGACCTACAGGGACCCTGTGCACAATAGAACGAAACACTGCCTGGTCCCGCACCAGCCTCACAATGCTTCCTATGCTTAAGCCCACTGTTGGCAGCCACTGTGTCAGTCTATCTCTTCTTCTTTTTTGCTGCCCCTCCATTTTATCAAAGAAGATGTCCTTCTCCAGAGGCTGGTTTCTCCGGACAACGTGTCCAAAGTATGTAAAACGAAGTCTTGTCATCCTTGCCTCTAAGGAGCACTCTGGCTGTACTTCTTCTAAGACATCTGTTCGTCCTTGTCGAAGTTGATGATACTTTCAATATTCTTCTCCAGCACCACAATTCAAATACATCAATTCTTCTTTGATCTTCTGTAATCAGTGTCCAACTTCCACACGCATATGAGGCAATGGAAAATACCATGGCTTGGGTCAGGTGCACCTTAGTCCTCAAAGTAACATCCTTGTTTTGTAATACTCTAAAGAGGTCCGTGCAGCAGATTTATCTAATGCAACTTGTCTTTTGTTCTCATGACTGCTTCTTCCAGGAGCACTGATTGTGGATCCAAGCAAGACAAAATCCTTAGCAACTTTGAGCTTTTCTCCATTTATCACGATGTTACCTATTAGTCCAGATGTGAGGTTTTGGTCTTCTTAACATTGAGTTGTAATCCCTACTGAAGATTGCAGTCCTTGATCTTCATCAGCAAATGCTTCAAGTTCTTTGCACTTTCAGCAAATAAGGTTGTATCATCTGCATCCCGAAGGTTGTTAATAAGCCTTCCTCTAATCCTAATGCCACATTCTTCCTCGTATATGCCAGCTTCTCTGATTATTTGCTCAGCATTCAGATTGAATAAGTATGGTGAGAGGATACGACCCTGACACATACCTTTCCTGATTGTAAACTATGCGGTATTTTCTTTAGTTCCCACAACTGCCTCTGATTCATTGCAAGTTCTGCATGAGCACAGTGAACTGTTCTGGAATGCCCATGCTTCTCAAGGTTATCTATAGTTTGTTATGATCCACACAGTCCGTTGCCTTGCACAGTCAATAATACGCAAGTAAGCATCTTTCTGGTAGTCTCTGCTTTCAACCAAGATCCAGCTGACATAAGCAATGATAGCTCTTGGTCCGCATCCTCTTCTGAATCTGACTTGAACTTCTGGGGCAACTCCCTGTCAATGTACTACTACAACTGTTGTTAGATGATCTTTAGCAAAATTTTACTTGAATGTGATATCAAAGATATTACTCTATAATTTAGCAAAATTTTACTTGAATGTGATATCAAGGATATTATTCTATAATTTGAGGATTCTGTTGGATTACTTTTCTTTGGAATAGGTACAAAAATGGATCTCTTCCAGTCAGTCGGCCAAGTAGCTGTCTTCCAAATTCCATGATATAGATGAGTGTTTCCAGTGCTTCATCAACTTATTGAAACATTTCAATTGGTAGTCCATCAATTCAATTCCTAGAACCTTGTTTTTGGCTAATGCTTTCAGTGCAGCTTGAACTTTTTCCTTCAGCACCATTGGTTCTGGCTCATATGCTGCCTCCTGAAATGGTGGAATGCTGACTAGTGCTTTTTGGTACATGACTATAACTTGCTAGCTTCCCTAATAAACCCCATAGTGTGAGTGTTGCATTGACTTTGAGTTCGGCGTGCCCATTGCAATAGATAAACAAACTGAGCAGGGAAGGACGCTCTGGGAGGGCTGGCTGGTATCAGAATAGGGTAAAGAGGATGGAGGGTGGAGATCTGACCTATGGCTGGTGATTCTCCTCCTTCTCCCTTGTGAAGTCAAAGGAATTCAGACAATGCTTCCACCCCATTTTTGTAAGGACCCCCATTTGCTGGTGGGGCATGATTCAAAAGGGGAAGAAACCAGAATGCGGAATATATATGAAGTATGAATCTAGGAAAATTGAAATCACACACACACAAAGAAATCCTTGAAGATCAAACAAAGATGCTATGTCCCTTACATGCATTTATTAGTAAGCTATCCAGTCTCCATGGTGGGCCACAAAAACCTCATATTTACATAGTCCTACCACATCACTTGGTGGGAATGACAAAAGGCTATGGTTTGGATAGTAATTCACTGCCCTGCACCTCTACTTTAATTCTGAAGGGGAAAATATCATTTGTACAGCTTGCTTCATTTTTATTTGTAGCTCTTGGGAAATATAAAATTACTTAAGAAATTTTTTAAAGTTTAAATTACTAAAACTTGTTTCTCATTGTTTTTTAAGGACTAAGAAAAAGTTTTCCTATTTTAGGGAAAATTCCACAAACTGGAAAAGAGAATAAAATTAAAACTTTACTTATTCAATACAACCATAGCTGATATTTTTAAAATTCTGATCTTTGTTCCTCATGTACTCCTAAAGAACATAGTATTGTGTATAAATTATGTGCATATAAAATTTTGTAAGATTTTCCCTCCACAAAAGTGAGTAGAATAAACTTGAGTATATAACATATTATTGTTTTACCATTGTTGATCAGATCATTGGTGGACTGATTTTTAAATGTGATTTCTTTTGTCATCCACAGCATAATGAAGAAACATCCAGTGAAAACGAGACACTTAAAGAAAACAGTGACGTAGTAAGAAAGCACAACAAAGAATTATCCAAAAGGTATTAATAACATACTTCATTGCTGTTCCATTCAAGTAAAAACAGCCTTTAATAATTGACTGCATGTCTGGCATCGTGTCAAGAACTTTTGACACTGAAAGTAACAAGGCGTTGGTGTTCTTTTTAAGGAGCTGTTCACTATTGGAGAAAGTAGGCATATAAACACAATGCAGCATGATGAAGAATTAAAAAAAAGAATTGTTTCTCTACAAAACAATCTGAATTACTGAAAAATGTTGTGCTGTTCAGAAAGCTCCCTAAAAACATGAAAGGACTTATGGGGGAAATAGGGTTGATAAGAAGTCTACGCTAAGTCTTTACATGGTTGGTTGGTTTGTGTAAACTGAACACTGAAAACAACAGTAAAAACTGTGATAATACTAATACATTTTTTTTAAGATGTGTTAAATTGCTAATAGCAGGAGTAGAAGAACTAGCTAGTTGTAACTGGCTATCAGAAAAGCCTGAGGTTTCAGAATTAAGAGTCTGCATAGCAGTGACAATGAGGCACATAAGTAATTCCAAGGTGGGACAGTGGCCAAACTGAAACTGAAGGCCGAGGCTGAGCATGCATGACTGAGCATCAAATAGAGATTCTACTTGTATTCCGCCACAGTACCTTGTCACATTCAGGCATGATAATGGACTTTAGTTGTTAATTCTTGATCCTCCGAGTAGTATGCTAGGAAAAATCATATATGAACCATCATCATGTTCATGTGGTGCTGACATCATTTACAAATTGTATGTGAACAAATACATGCTGCAAAAATGTACATTGTAATAGGATAGGCTATTTGTATACAATACAGAAAGAACATAGAGGAAAAGTCTGAATGTTTTCCTGACAGAACTTGTCACTTTTAATATCCAAACTTTATAAAACACCTTGTGGATCAATGAATTACTTATGGTTCTTCTAGCCATAGTCTTTTTCCCTCACACCAAGCAACTGGATAGAATTATGCTAATATGAAGTGCTTGTGGCCCACTGAGGGAATCGGATAGCATGCTGGTCATGTAAATAACGTGAATGACACCCTCATTGGACTAGACAAATAAGGCATATAGAACACTAGCATAGGAGTTGGTCAGTTTTGCCCTTTGAGGCTTAAATGATCCATCCCAGAGGTAGAAGAAAGGTCTTCACCATCATCAAGAAAGAAAAGCCAGTGGAGAGCCTCCTTTGGACCCTCTGCTGAACCTACTCAATCTAGGAGACACTTGTAACACTGAAGACAGCTAGAAGCAGAGGCAGCAGAACCAAGAGGAGAAGACTGAGCAGTGGGCTTCCCTGCCCATGGAACAAGAACACTTAGTGTCTTTGGGCAGGAAGCTTGCTGGTAGTGCCTCTGAGCACCTATTACCCTGTTTCCCCGAAAGTAAGACATCCCCCGAAAATAAGACCTACTTATAGTTTTGCCTCTTGATGAAATATAAGGCATCCCCCGAAAATAAGACCTCCTCCAAAATAAGGCCCTCCGAAGCTACCATAACTCTGGACTGTAGCTGCGGACACCACCGGGCAGCTCACTGTTGGCCACAGCGTAGCGTGAGGTCTCTTTTAATAAAACAATAAGCAATAAATGTGTACCATATTCTTCTTCATGGAAAAATAAGACATCCCTGAAAATAAGACCTAGCGCATCTTTGGGAGCAAAAATTAATATAAGACACTGTCTTATTTTGGGGGAAACAGGGTAGCAGAGTTAAAAGAGCTTTGTAACACTTGTCCAAGCAAGAAAAGGGCCAAGCCAAGGGGAGAGAAGTGTGCCTGTAGACATGACTGAAGGGAGCCTCTTGTGACTGAAGCACTGTATTTTGAGCAGTCCAAACCAAACCCATTTCCATAGTCCATTCAGACTCATGTTGACCCTGTAAGAGTAGAACTACTCAGAGTTTGTGACACTGTTCATTGTTAAGCGAGGAGACTGCCTCCTGTTTATCCTGCAGAGTGGCTGGTGGGTTTCAATTGCTAACCTTGTGATTAGCAGCTCAATGCTCAACCCACTGTGCCATCAGGGCTCCTTTGGAACCTGTTACTTCCCAACAAACCCTGAATTGTGGGTGTGGTTTGTGAGTTCCTGAATGACCATTGCAACAAATTGTCAAGCCCAGCAGAGTAGTAGAGAGGGATGGTTGGGGTCAGAATTAGTAAAAATGTGGAGGATGGAGGCCTGTTTGAGCTCCACCTTAAAGGAATCAACCTTGGGTAGCTGATTCTGATGCTCTCGGTCCTCATCTTCCCCACGTTTGAAGTTACAGAGGAGGCAGATGCCACCATCATGCCATGTTTTACACATATTTCCCAATGTAACCTTTCTTGTCCAATACTTACTTAGGAAGATTTATATTTCTGTCCTCCAAACTCAATATGCTATTTAACAAAGTGACATGTGAGGAAAAGGTGGAGTTTGCTTCCAGCTGTAGTTGATAAAACATCAAGATCCCATGCACAAGTTTTGGAAAACATTTTTAATGCCAATAAGGGAAATATTGATATTGCTGGTACTAATGGAGGCAGCATTAGTGCGCATAACTTCTAACAACTATATTAACTGGTGATTGGAAAGACATGCCTTAAGCATTTTATATAATAAAATGAGTGTCACTTACCTTCCCAACACAATCGCTGAAGTCAAAATGGGTGCATAAGCAGAGTGGTGAAGAGAGCTGATGGTGCCCAGCTATTAGAAGACATAGCTTCTGGGGTCTTAAAAGCTTGAAGGTAAACAACCAGCCATCTAGCAGGGAAGCAACAAAGCCCACAGGGAAGAAGCACACCAGTGATCACGAGGTGTCGCCAGGATCAGATATCAGGCATCAGAAGACCCAAAACAAACAATCATATTGGTGTGAATGAGGGGGGTTGGAGTGGAGACCCAAAGCCCATCTTTAGACAGTTGGACATCCTCTAACAGAAGGGTCACAAGGAAGGGTCACAAGCCAGCCAGGGTACAGCATAGCACCGATGAAACACACAACATTCCTCTAGTTCTTTAATGCTTGCACCACCACCCCCACTACCATGACCCCAGTTCTACCTTACAAACCCGGCTAGACCTATCTGTACACTGGTACAGATAGGAGCTCTGGACACAAAGAATCTAGAATGGATAAACACCTCAGGAACAATAATGGGAGTAGGGATGCCTTGAGTATAGAGGGAAGATGGGGGGAGGAGGGGGAGAAAGGGGGAACCAATCACAGTGATCAACACAACATAACACCCCCCTCCCTGGGGGACAAACAACAGAAACTTGGGTGAAGGGAAACAGCGGACAGTGTAAGACATGAAAATAATAATAGTTTATAATTTATCAAGGGCTCATGAAGATGGGGGAGGGAGGGAAAAAAGAAGACCAATACAAAGGGCTCAAGTAGAAAGAAAATGTTTTGAAAATGATGATGGCAACATATGTACAAATGTGCTTGATACAGTGGATGGATGGGTTGCAATATGAGCTGTAAGAGCCCCCAATAAAATGATTTATTAAAAAATAAGATAAAAAATGAGTGTTACATATATATGTGATTTGCTGTGTTTACATTGTGTTTTAGGAAATTGGTTTGGACTTGAGGTTAGTGTATAACACCCTTTTTTCCCTTTGTAATATGGGATATAGACTCCTTGTGAGCATTTTTTGTGTGGAACATGTGCTTTTTCAGAGATGGATTACTGATTTTGAGAGATACTTAGTTCTCTTTATACCTGTATAAAGACAAGGCTTTCTATTCCCATACAGGGCTACAGTCTTGGTAACCCACCCAGGCAATTCTACCCAGTTCTGTAGGATTGCCCGAGTTGGGTTTTGAAAATTCAGAGACATCTACCAAGTGGACACCTGGGGAGCTGGGGATGGATATTATAGGTAAAGCAGAAAACATGTGCAAGGAAAAGTACATTAAATTAAAAGCACATCTTATTAAACATAGAATCATAAGAAGTTGAATGCAATCATTTAGAAGATGTTCTTAAAGTGAGACGAGACTAGAAATAGTAAGATTACTTAGTAGAGTTAATGGTAGCCTGAACTAAGATTTGAGCAAATAAATTAGGTTTGACAGTTTGGTGTAGTGGATTATGCATTGGGTTGCTAACTCCCAGGTCAACAGTTCAAAACCACCAGCTGCTTTGAGGGAGGAAGGAAAAGAAAGCAAGACTTTCCACTCCTGTAAAGAGTAACACTCTCAGAAACCCACCAAAGGAGTTTTAACCCTGCCCTATAGTGTCAGTATGAGTCAGAATTGAGTTGATGACTGTGAGGGCTTTTTTTTTTTTGGTAGGAGGTGTAAGAAGCCCTAGTGGAGTATTGGGTTATGCTTTGTACTGCTAACCATGGGGTCAGAAGTTCAAACCCACCTACTGCTCCACAGGAGAAAGCTGTTTGCTCCTGTAAATATTTAACTTCTCTGTCCTATAGGGTCAAACACAACAACATGAGTTGGAATCTGCTCAAGGCAATGAATTATTGGTTTAATTGACGACAGTAAGTGGTTGATGTGCAGTTTAGGGAGAAAGAGAAAGAGATGCCTAGGATAACTCCCAATATTCATCTACTCTAGAAGATCAAGTAGATAGTGGTGCTATTATTGACTGAGGTAGGGAAACTGAAAGGGGTGTGAATTTGTAAGAGAACATAGTGAATTCTATTTTGAGCATGTTGAATTTGAAGTTATAATTTTAAGAATAAATAATGCCATGTATTAAGTCCACCCATAACCTCTCTTAAAAGTCACTACCTCCTCCTTGGATCCTTCAATCAGTAGGAAAAGTAGTTGACACCTGCCGTGCCTTCCCTGGGGATAACTTCTCCAATCAACAGGCCAGCACACTATAGCTTGGGTGAACATGAGTTGAGCTAATTCTCTTGAAATTTATATGAAGAAATGTGGAAAGAGTTTTTAATTAGTGATAGGATTAGCTTTAGAGACAGTCAAAGTCACATGCAAGCTACATCGGGAACAACACTGAGGAAATGAAGCTGCTGGACAGAGGA